GTTTCTAGGTCTTAGCGTTCTTATGTGATTGATCGGAAACTGTTTTAGCTTACAAGATCAATGTGACTTTGACCTTTGACTCCAAAATCAATAGGGGTCATCTACTGGTCAGGACCAATTACTATACCAAGTTTGAAGTTCCTAGGCTTAAGCGTTCTTTAGTTATTGATCGGAAACCGTTTTTACCTACAAGGTCAATGTGACCTTGACCTTTGACCCCAAAATCAATAAGGGTCATCCACTGGTTATGACCAATCACTATACCAAGTTTGAAGTTCCTAGGCCTAAGCGTTCTTTACTTATTGATCGGAAACAGTTTTTACCTTCAAGGTAAATGTGACCTTGACCTTTGACCCCAAAATCAATAGGGGTCATCTACTGGTCATGACCAATAACCATACCAAGTTTGAAGTTCCTAGGCCTAAGGGTTCTGTAGTTATCACTTAGAAACCATTTGGTCTACGGACCGACAAATGCAAAGCAATATACCCCCTCTTATTTGAAGTGAGGGCATAATAAGTGTGCCCTTGACTTTTGAAGAAGAGACCAAGTTCCTGGACACAACAAAATGTTGTTTTGAGATAAATATCTGTGCCAAATTATTTCAAAATTCCTCAATGCATGATAAAGTTACAGTCTGGACATGATTGTTGTGTAAGTGGGGACACACAGACAGACGGACATGAGCCTTAGCCGCGACACATTGTCTTGATGTGGTAGACATTTGTGCCAAGTTATTTTAAAATCCTTTCATGCATGACAAAGTTACAGACCGGACATGAATGTGTATCTTCAAACTTTTCTCAAGAGAACGAGTACCTTCAAACTATAAGTGTGACCTTGACCTTGAAGGTAGGGGCATGGGTCTTTGTTGCGACATATCCTCCAATGCATGACAAAGTTACAGCCCGGACATGAATGTGTATACCTATAAACTCTAATTGTGATAAAGTGAACTTCAAAATGGTAGTATGACCTTGACCTTTGAGGTAGGGACGTGGTTCTTAGACGCAACACATCGTCTTGATGTGGTAGACATTTTTGCCAAGTTATTTTAAAATCCCTCAATGTATGACAAAGTAACAGTCCGGACACGAATGAAGTGGGGACGCACAGATGGACGGACGTAGTTGTATTGGGATACATGTACTGGTATATCAACTTGAAACAAACAAATGGAAAACATTTTTACCTTTTTTTGCTCTGTTATAACTGCCTCAAGTTCAGTAAACTTTCTTTTCTGTTCTTTCCCAGCCTCAAGTTGTTCCTCTTTTTCTTGTGCCAACTGTCTTTCAAGTTCAATAAATTTATTTTTCAGCTCCTCATATTCCACTTTAGTTGCAGCATTTTCAGTAAATTCCCGCATTTTTGTCATTTCATCTTTGATTTGTTTCAAGATTTCTTCAGAGCATTCAGTAGTGATAACAAAGTCTTTTTGCTTTAGCTGATGGAAAAAAAATGTTCAATTTTCTTTCAGAGATAAAATGTAGCTATATAAAATAGCTACATTTTTATTTCAAAATTATCTCAATTTGGTTTTTTATTTTAACTCTCATACTTTATCTGCTTTTAAGGCAGGATGTGTAGTATAGTCATTTGATTGCCAGAATTCTCTATTTTCTTTACCATTTGTTTTTCTTACCTGTTACTAACAAGCTATCTGTATTCTTTATATTTACACTCTGTGGGAATTTTTATTTGATTTCATCATGATAAGTTAACTTAAGGCAGTTGTTACTTAAAATTCACTAAAATAAATTAACCACTTGGAGCACTTTTTTTTATTTAACTCTGTAAATTTAGTAAAATGTGCTTATTTAAAATTATGATAATTTAACTCTATAAAGATTTCAAACTTATAATTTATTATATACACTTACATCTTGGAGTTTCAGTACAGCTTGTTGTGCAGCTGGTTGATGAACAAGTTCCTTACTATCTTGTAGAACTGTTATCATATCATCTAAGTAAGTATTTGTCTCGCTTTCCTCTAATTCCATACTGCTTGAGTGGAAAATCATGTTTCTATACTGACGTACCTATTGAATGAAAAACAAATAATACAAAATAGTTATAGGGTGTATCACTCAATTACACTCAGAGTTAAATGGACATTCTTTTTTATGCTTTGTTGCTGTATAAATAGAGTAGTTAACTTACAATGAAGCGTAAAATTCTATGATATCTACATTATTTAACAACATCATTGCAAAGGAACAGCAAAATATGCCAGAATAAACTAGAACTGCCACTATCATGGCGTGAATACCCCCGCATACTACTTTGTCAGAATCAACAGTGGCCATTTAGAGGTCAAGGACAACCTCCCTGCCAAATCTGAGGTTACTAAGCCAGTGCATAGCTAAGTTATGTATTCTACATGCTTCAAATGTGAAAATGTCAAAATCAATACATTGCGGACAGGACATTCTTTAGAAATTGAGAAGAAAAGCTTTTTTTGTCAAGGTCCCTGTGACCTTGACCTTTGACCCAGTGACCTCAAAACCAATAGGGGTCACCTTATAGTCATGATCAACATCCATGCAAAATATGAAGACTGTGGGTCAAAGGAATCTTAAGTTAATGGATGGACAAAACTTTTTGAAGTCAAAGTCCCTATGACCTTGACCTTTGATCCAGTGACCTCAAAATCAAAAGGGGTGATCTACTAATCATGATCAACATCCATGCCAAATATGAAGACTGTGGGTCAAAGGAATCTTAAGTTATTGGGCAGACAAACTTTTTGAAGTCAAGGCCCCTGTGACCTTGACCTTTGACCTGGTGACCTCGAAATCAATAGGGGACATCTACTAATCATGACTAACCTTCATTCCAAATATGAAGACTGTGGGTCAAAGGAATCTTAAGTTATTGGGCGGTCAAGCTTTCTGAAGTCAAGGCCCCTGTGACCTTGACCTGGTGACCTCAAAATCAATAGGGGTCATCTACTTGTCATGACCAGCCTCCATGCCAAATATGAAGACTGTGGGTCAAAGGAATCTTAAGTTATTGGGCGTACAAGCTTTTTGAACTCAAGGCCCCTGTGACCTTGACCTTCGACTTGGTGACCTCAAAGTTAATAGGGGTCATCTACTAATCATGACTAACATCAATGCCAAATATGAAGACTACAGGTCAAAGGAATCTTAAGTTATTGGGCGGACAAGCTTTTTGAAGTCAAGGACCCTGTGACCTTGACCTGGTGACCTCAAAATCAATAGGGGTCATCTACTAATCATGACTAACCTCAATGTCAAATATGAAGACTATGGGTCATAGGAATCTTAAGTTATTGGGCGGACAAGCTTTCTGAAGTCAAAGCCTCTGTGACCTTGACCTTTGACCTGGTGACCTCAAAATCAATAGGGGTCATCTACTAATCATGACTTACCTCCACGTCAAATATGAAGACTGTGGGTCAAAGGAATCTTAAGTAATTGGGCGGACAAGCTTTTTAAAGTCAAGGCCCCTGTGACCTGACCTTTGACCTGGTGACCTCAAAATCAATAAGGGTCATCTACTAATCATTACTAACCTCCATGCAAAATATGACGACTGTAGGTCAAAGGAATCTTAAGTTATTGGGCGGACAAGCTTTTTGAAGTCAAGGCCCCTGTGACCTTGACCTTTGACCTAGTGACCTCAAAATCAATATGGGTCATTTACTGATCATGAATAACCTCCATGCCAAATATGAAAACTAAGGGTCAAAGGATTCTTAAGTTATTGGGCGAACAAGCTTTTTGAAGTCAATGTCCCTGTGACCTTGACCTTTGACCTGATGACCTCAAAATCAATTGGGGTCATCTACTGATCATTACTAACCTCCATGCAAAATGTGACGACTGTAGGTCAAAGGAATCTTAAGTTATTGGGCGTACAAGCTTTTTGAAGTCAAGGCCCCTGTGACCTTGACCTTTGACCTAGTGACCTCAAAATCAATAGGGGTCATCTTCTAATCATGCCTAACCTCCATGCCAAATATGAAGACTAAGGGTCAAAGGAATCTTAAGTTATTGGGGGGACAAGCTTTTTGAAGTCAAGGCCCCTGTGACCTTGACCTTTGACCTGGTGACCTCAAAATCAATAAAGGTCATCTTCTAATCATTATTAACCTCCATGCAAAATATGACGACTGTAGGTCAAAGGAATCTTAAGTTATTGGGCGGACAAGCTTTTTGAAGTCAAGGCCCCTGTGACCTTGACCTTTGACCTGATGACCTCAAAATCAATAGGGGTCATCTACTGATCATTACTAACCTCCATGCAAAATGTGACGACTGTAGGTCAAAGGAATCTTAATTTATTGGGCGTACAAGCTTTTTGAAGTCAAGGCCCCTGTGACCTTGACCTTTGACCTAGTGACCTCAAAATCAATAGGGGTCATCTACATGTACTAATCATGACTAACCTCCATGTCAAATATGAAGACTAAGGGTCAAAGGAATCTTAAGTTATTGGGCGGACAAGCTTTTTGAAGTCAATGCCCCTGTGACCTTGACCTTTGACCTGATGACCTCAAAATCAATAAGGGTCATCTACTGATGATCAGATCATTACTAACCTCCATGCAAAATGTGACGACTGTAGGTCAAAGGAATCTTAAGTTATTGGGCGTACAAGCTTTTTGAAGTCAAGGCCCCTGTGACCTTGACCTTTGACCTAGTGACCTCAAAATCAATAGGGGTCATCTACATGTACTAATCATGACTAACCTCCATGCCAAATATGAAGACTAAGGGTCAAAGGAATCTTAAGTTATTGGGCGGACAAGAAAAAACCGACGGACAGCCGGACGGCCGGACGGACAAGCTGATTTCAGTATCCCCCCCTTACAACTTTGTTGTGCGGGGGTATAATAAGGCTTAGTAATCAAGGATCAAATGTGCTTGAGTTATCAAGAATAATTTTTCACATAGAGAAAAGCTCCCAACATTCTACAGAAATAAAAGAACATTATAATTAAAGTATATAAATGATTAAAGGATTAAATTTACCTTTGAAAAAAGATTGTTTGGTCCTGTAACATTGCATCCAATGTGACTATGAAAGTACTTGTTATTTATGATAACATGAAGCAACCCAGTGCAATCAGTGTCGACTGCTGATGTCTTGTCCTTGTACCCAGGAGCATTTATAAAACATTTGCAAACCTCCCACGGTTCTGTTGACCACTGTTGGACATCACTGTTTTTCCAAAAAGGTGCCGGTGGCATTGATGCATGATACTGTATAATGCTGTCATAGATGGCACCACATACATTGTTTGGACAGGGTCTCTTATTATTTGGAAAGCAACAGTTACATTTATCTTGATTGAGGGGACATATTCCTTTTGAGACTCGGACATGATCTGGCTGGAGAGTTGTTATCAGACAGGCGCCACATGGTATGTTTGGTTGAGGAGTTTTTGTTTGTTGTATTTGGTTTATAATATCTTTGTGCTGCTGTCTTCCAATGTCATCACAAAATGGCGCAAGTCCCTCTTTAAGATAACCCAAGCCTAGGCCAGCCTTGACCCACTGCCGGTATTTGTTGTTCTTTAAATGTTTCTCATGTGCCATCTTGATTTCTAAAACAAACAAAAAATATTTTTAGCTACAATTTGTAAGAATCCAAGGAAAACCAACATTAACTATGACTGATCACAAACACTTGTATGCCCTGAAAGCTGTGCCAGTTAAGGGACCATGAACTTTGACTTATAATGAAGGCATTGTTACAATCTCTAGATGGCCATGTTGGCCCTGAGATTTGTTGTTAGAAATGGTCATATACAGAAGTAGATATTATTTGGGCCACATTGAGCGGCTAAAATCAATTCAACAATTTCTAGTCACGTGGTGGAGTCACGTGGTAGTCACATGGTGAAGTCACGTGGTGGAGTCACATGGTGGAGTCACGTGGTGGAGTCACGTGGTGGAGTCATGTGGTGTCACATAGTGGTGTCACATGGTGGTGGAGTCACGTGTTGTTGTTGTTGTTGATGCACTAATCTAAGAAAATTCAGTAATTTAACCTTCAAGGTCATTAAAAAGCCCAAGTGTTTGATAAACAACAAGGTCTTGTCCTTAAGTATGTTCTGTTATAATATGAAGTTGATCCCTTCAATAATAGCAAAGTTACAGCCAGTTACAGTCAAAACAATGAAAATTTCAATAAGTTGAACTTCAAAGTCAAGGTCATTTAAATGAGTGAAGGTCAAGGTCTCTCTGTTTATTTTTGAAGGTTATCCTTGAACATTATTATGTTCAAGTTTGAAGACAATCCATTCAAAAATAACAAAGTAAAACAGCCAATAATAGCCAAAAAAAAAGAAAATTTCAGTAATTTGACCTTCAAAGTCAAGGTCATTTATGAGTGAAGGTCAAGGTCTGTCTGGTTATTTTTAAGGGATATCCTTGAAGATTATTATGATCAAGATTGAAGACAATCATTTCAAAAATAACAAAGTTACATCCAATAATAGCATGAACAAGCAAAATTTGGACTTTTAACCTTGAAGGTCAAGGTCATTTATTGATGAAGGTCAAGGTTAGTGTGGGCTACTTAAAGGTCTTGTCCCAAGGGTTGTTGTAGCCAAGTCATCGTCGGATACCCACGGCCGAACCATTATCATTCATCAGCCGTGGGATTTTTTGCCGATATTCAGTCGATTAGAGGTGTGTCAAAGGCAGCTATTTCATTGGCTGCCTCACGATTTCATGAAGCGATTAAAACCAATCAAAACGCTCGTTCTGTACGACGTTCGGTATTACAGACACTATTGCAACAACCATTGACGACGTAAAAAGTTTAACATCTAAAAATTAAACGATTTCCAGCAAGAAAGTATAGATAATTTACTTTTACAGCGTGATTTTTCCTTTATGATTGATATCTGCTTGCAGAAGAACGGATTTGGCGATAGTTTTTGCCAATGATTTTAGCAAACACGTGCAACAGTTTTTAACCGTGGGCGCTGCCATTTTTTTTCTTATTGTTTTTTACCTCCGCTGTTGAAGAATATAGATTTGTTAAACGCGATGTCATTGGTAGATATTTTACGCACCTGTTGCTGTATATCGACGCAAATCGATTCATTTTACCCACGGTTGATTGCATGTTATGTGACATGTTTATCAATCGTGGGTATCCGACGATGTAGCCAAGTATGAAGACAATACATCAAGAAATAAAAAAGTTATGATCCAGGTACATGTTTGCGGACGGGAACAGCAACGGCAGCGCCGCCGTGACTATAGCAATACCTCTACTTTTTTATCAAAAAAAAAAAAGTTGAGCTAAAAATGAAATAATTATATATACGAAACAATCCAATTTTGAAAATTAGTTTGTAAAATAAAAATCTGATACATCTAAATCAATTATCATTATACTTTGAACTGTCTTTTGATCCGAGATTCATTATTCAGAAATGTCTACATTTTAGTCTATGCCCATATCTTAGCAACACTTAAAAATTGATGTAAAACATAAAATTGTTGGGATAAAAAGAAAGCCAAACATTTTGGGTTTGTTCAAGAAAAGGGGGTTGTAAACTCAAACAAGAGCTGTCAGTAGGACAGCAATGCTCGACTATTCTTAGTGCTTGATCTATAGTAAAAAAACGCCTTGTTTAAAAGGTAAAATTTTCTCAGTAAAGAAAAAGGCAAATTTTTTATTTTAATCTATATTACAGTTATGGGCATTGGAGAGAGTCCTAGAATGCTCTCAAAGAAGAGTATAAAATTGCAACATGTTTCAAAGCCATATGTCAATGGACTTTGAAAATATTTGAGGTATTACAAAAACTTTAGCACAAGTCGAAAAAGGGGCATAATTCTGTCAAAATGCTTGATAGAGTTACCTCCTCTTGTCTACAGGTTGGGGTCATGATGGTGAATAAGTGTGCAAAGTTTCAAAGCCATATGTTAATGGGCTTTGAAAATATTTGAGGTATTACAAAAACTTTAACATAAGTGGTTATGCCGACGCTCGGTGACTACAATAGCTCAACTTATTCTTATCAAATAGTCGAGCTAAAAATTAGTCCCAAATTAAATTCTGTTGTATGACTGCAGTGTTCGAAATTAGCAGTAGTCCTATAGCCCCTGACTACTAAATTTGTCCTCGGGCTACCAAGTGTTCAAAGTAACAAGCCAGACCAGGCTACTGTATTTTCAGACGCAATATAAACAACTGTTTTGAACCAATGAATTGTGCTAGTGAAATGTCTTTTGGGCTAGTGAATATTTCAATCTGGTAGTCCGACCAGCCTAGTGGATTCAAATCCTAATTTCTAACACTGTGACTGCATTTAGCCGCAATCTTGAGACCACATCTTGATCGTAAATATCTGGGCAAGGTTAAAACAAGAGGGTCATGATGGCCCTAAAAACGCTCGCCAATATATAGGCCCTGGGCCAAGGCCAATTTTAAACCAGGGGCTTTTATGTAGTGGTGGGGTTTCCAACAATAAACACTTTGATATGTTTATTATATGTTTAGTCAATAAAGAATAAAACCTGTAACAAATAAAGTAAGTATGAGACATCACATTACAAACAAATATAATACAAGACAAAATACATTTTACAAAATACATAATACACAATATAATACAACAATTCAAATTACAATAAAAACAATTTCACAAATAAATAAATACATATATACACTATTAAACATACCAGTCTTGTAATAGAAGAAATCTAATGAAATAATAGAAATAAGAATCAAGTATTTCTATTAAGAAATTACTGAAAGTTAAATAATTTTAAAGTTCTTTACACTTTGAAAGCGAGACAAGGAGTGGTCAGTTACCAAGAAATAGGGCTGTAACGTTTACCGGTACACCGATATATTGCGGTGCAGGATAAATAAATATTGTACCGCGGTTCACATTTAGTTGCACCGGTTTTATTTAGTAATAACAGCGTTTCATAATTTTCTCTATAAATAAAAGAAAGTCTTCCATAATTTTCTTGATAAATTTTCTTGATAAATATTATGAAAATGTCCTATACACAAAAAAAAAATATAACAACCAAAAGTAGGAAGCGTGTAAAAAAAACGGTGTTAGGGTAAAAAAATTACACGGGTGCACGGTAGAAAAATGCTTGAATAAATCGGTGATTTACTATGGCAGACGGAAATAATTACGATCTGATATAAAATTTTAATTGCAAGGAAAAGAGAGACCCATGAATTATTGAATACTAGATGCTGACAAAGTAGACATGTTAATTTTTTCTAAAGAAAAACGCAGATAAATTGCCACCGTCACTCAATCCCTGTGATCTATTCCGAGTCTGAAACTGTGTTAAGAAAATCATTAGGATATAGTTTAGATTGTTAGTTACTTAATGAAAAAGTGTTTAAAGTTTTATATTTCTGTTAAGTTACTAACAGTTGATGCTTCCATAGTTGAAACAGTTAAAAATTGTTAAGGAAAATATCCAATAATTCTGTTTGCAAGAGACATAGAAATATAAATATATATTATATTTGTTGAAATAATATACAAGTCTCTTTTTCTGAATTATTTCCCAGTACCTAAGATAAATAACAATACGTATTGCAATATATTGCAATACTGATGTGGCGTATTGCAATATATTGCAATATGCTTTTTACCGTATTGTTACAGCCCTACCAAGAAAATATTAGCTATCCCAGAACCAAATCTTCTAAAATTAACCAAAACCAATCATCCATCACTCAACTTGCAAAACCAGTTCAATCACCCATAACAACAGGAACAAAGACAAACATGAACACATAACACCACAAAATATTTGGTTTGGCCTTTAAGGGAAATAACTACAGTATTTAACTTGGCTTATTTTAACCTTATCTACATTTATTTGAACAAACTTGGTAGACACAACAATCAGAGATCCATTTTTTGTGCCCCCACTTTAAAACTTAACAGGAATGTTGATCAGCATGTGTAGTTGTGCACCTGGGTATTTTCGTCTGGATATTTTTAGTATTTTTAGAGTTATTGCCCTTGACTTAGTAAAATTTTGCAATTTTCAACTTGTGTCGCATGTAACTCAAAAAGTATTTGACAGAGTCATGTAACATTACTGGAATGTTGATCAGCATGCAGAGATCTGCTAAGAATTTGAAAGTACTGGGCCCTGGGCCCACTTGGTCTGAAAATGATGGGCCATTTTTACCAAAGTATGGGCCTTGAGAAAATAAGTAAACATTGACCAAAATAACTGTTAAAAAGTTTGTAGATACATGTAATTGAATTTCCCTGGTAATAAAACTTAAATCATATTTTATGACAAGTGGTTCACTTATAATTCAGTACATGTACTTTACCGATAATTAAAAATTATGCCTACATGGTAACTTTCTAACTAATATTAATTGCAGGCAAAAATGAAAATATTTTTTTAATGGCTGCTCAAAAATTTGATATGCAAATTTATTCACATAATTGCTGGTTCTTACTTGTAATGTCTTATATTGTGCATTATCCATTTAATTGTTCCTACTTTGCACAAAATGTCCCTTACCAATGTATATTGACGAATTTTATTGCCCTTGTATGCCTCTGTGTAGACAGCATACATC